AGCGCTACATTTTGCTCATCTTCTGTACGATATTCCACTGCGTCGATTATGATATCGTTCAATCTGTCTTCATACCCCACGGTTTGGCTCGGTGTCGCAACGGTCTTCAGTTAGCTTGTTTTTGTCTTTTTCTTTTGTTACGACGGGACATGACGCTTAGGAGACAAAGAGCTCACTCACGTATATCAATCAATGGTCATCATGGGCGGGGTTTTTGCGGTTTTAGTTTGGCTGGTAAAACAAGACATACATTCAGGCTGCTTGGGAGATACATTTTCTCTTAAGTCTTGGTCGTTCTATCCACCTGCGCTTGCGTCTGATGTTGACGTATATGAACGTCTTTGATCCCGCACCAGTATTGGGAATCGATAGGCACAGGGTAGGGCAGTGGGAATAATCTCGAGGCCTCTACTACTGATGAAAATGAAATCATGTACACACGACCCTGGTCATACTGAATGAACCCTCGCGGAGCAGCTCAGCAGTATGTTTTGATCGCCTCGCATATACCAGGACCATCACACCTTGCCCTCGAGAAGGTCGTTCACTGCCCGACCCAGAGACTATGACAGATAGGCACAGTAGGATCGATATATGTCAATCATAGTAGAAATCGACCGTCTCCACAGATAGGATGAAGACATTGAAGAGGGGCCATCGAGGAACAGGAACTAGCCCAACCCAGTCGACATCAGCTGGCCAAGAAGGCCACCAGATATAGGAGCAGCGTGGTTTCCCTCCTCGGTTGTTAGTATTATCAAGCACTTTAATCATGGGCGCGGATATATATATTTATATATTCGCAGGCAATACTACAGGCTATTGTTGCAAGATCTATCAAGCAAGGCACGATATTATTAGGTCGGGACCCATAGATCGTGGACAAGTGTAGATATTACACAATGGGGATTTTGTGATAAACAGCAATGTATAATACTGTACATGCTTTCATGTAATATATGAATCAGGTACCTACTCACCTACATACTGTGGTCTGTTTCTACTTATCCTATCATGATCGTAGAGTTGACCCTCTAACTATGTGGTACCCCTCCACCGACTAATATATTCTCCGATCGTATACAGGACTGTGCTATACGCTTAGTATCGGTACAAGCCGTACGAATCCGATACTCGATGCGATGAATGCTCCTAAATTGAGTTGTGCTTTTGCGGCATTGGAATCGTCTAGCTACATACTTATCAACATCTGTACCTCGCTGGCTTGACCATATATATGCATGTAGTTGTCAATCAAGCCATCATCTATGTGTTTTCTTGAAAGATATATATCAAGTGGTGAGCCAAGCACAAGCAACACGGCAAGCACGATGATTCTTGCGTTGGGCGGTGGCTGTGGGCTTTCGCCCGACCAACCGCATAAGGCTCCCTCTCCTCGCCTCGCCTCTCTTGGACGCCACTCAGTTATTAGTTAGACCAATCCCGCCCAGCCCAGCCGTTGCGAGCACAGTGGCACATCGCATGCCGCCCAAGCGCCCAGGCGAACTCTCCCCCGGAAAGCAATGATCGACACGCTATTTCATATGAACGGCGCCCGGGCACCACGGCAAGGCGGAGAGGTGACAGGAAAAGTAGGGACTAACTACACCATATATGGGATACCGCGCGTTTTCTCTCGTATTCAGTATATACGTACGATCGATACGAAACATAAAATGGGATAAAAAGTTAGATCAGAAACGAAATCCACCGTACCGTACATAGTAGCCCTTCAAAACGACGGATCGCCCGGGCGGACTGTGCGCAGACACGTCAATCCGCCCCCTCTCCATGGGATATCATAGGCTAAACAATGTGTAGCCGTGTCGGCAGGTTCAGCGGCAGGCGGCTCGACTGTCCTGTCCGTCTGTCCGTCTGTCTGTGTCTGTCTGTGGTCGTTTGATGGGAGGGTGCTCGGATAACTCTTGTGTGCAATACTTACTTCGTTATGTGTATGTGCGTGTGCGAATTTGTGTAAAAGTTACATAGCTAGTAGTCGGTCCCTACCTACCACTATAGACGAAGCTGTCCTGCGTAGGCTTGTCTGTCTTGTCCTGCGTGCCGCTGTTGAATCATCCTTCATACGATCCGTGTTCCGCGAAACATCACCTATCATCGACGAGAGCCCAGGCAGGCACCTTTTTCTAACTAACTAGGCGTCTTTCCCTTCCGCTCGTGTCGTGTCTAACTAGGCAGTTGGTCGGAGAGCGGACGAGTGAGAAGGAGCTCGGCTGGCCTCTCTAGTCTCGCATCTACGTGTTCGTCCTCCACCCCCCACTCACCTCGAGTCCAGAAGTCGTCCGGTCGGTCTGTCGGTCGGTCTGTAGTGACACAGAGCCTCATCTCGCACACGAGCGAGCTATTCTCCTTCCTCTTAGGCCCAGCTGTGGCAAGGGTCCAGACGCCCCGGGCTGGTCACCTCGTCTGTGTGCCCTCCATTCATCGTATTGAGAGTGGAATGCGACCCCCCGCCGCCGCCGCCGCCCTTGCCCTCTTCATCCCGTCAGCATGAAGTACTCCTCGTGTTCTTTCTTATCTCCCCTCCGGCCGCCTCTAGCCTCATCGCTGCTGTGCATCAACATCATCGTCACCACCGTGCTAGGCGATGGCGGCAGCGGCGCCGCCGTCGCCGTCTCCAACGACTTCTCCTCGTACCCGGCGGGCTCGCAGTCGTGCCTGGACTCGTCGGCGCAGTCGAGCGGGTGCACGAGCGCGCCGTCGGGGCCCGACCTGAACAAATGCCTGTGCTACAACCGCGGCGACTTCATCTACGCGACGGCGCGGTGCGTGGCCGCCGCCAGCCCCGCCGACCTCGGCGCCGTCTACGCCCAGATGCGCGAGAACTGCCGCGGCACCGGCGACACCATCTCCGTCGCCGAGGACTCCTTCATGTCCCAGGCCCAGCAGGCCACCGCCACGAAGCCGGCGGCTGCCGGCCCCGGGGGCCCTACGCCCGGGCCACTACCACCAGGGGATGACGGCGGGGGGCCGGGCGGCGCTACCTCGCTGTCGATGGGCGCGAAGATCGGGATTGGCGCTGGTATTGGGTTCGGTGTGGTGGTGGCTGCTCTTGCCGCTTGGTTCATATGGGTGCGTCGTGCTCACCTTTCCTCTTCACCTTCATTCTCATCCCCTCAAGCCCTAAATACCTCCCACCCCCTTTGGGATCCCATAATAGTGGAGGTAGTGGTGGTAGTACTACTGCCAAAAAGGAGTGGATTCCAGTTACTGACTTTTGAGGGGGCCTTGATCGGCCTATCTCGTCATTGCAGGTATACGCACACCGACAGCGCCTGAGAGCCGAGGAAGAGGGCAACAGCAGCAACGGTAAAGACCCGGACGCTACGGAGATGGACAACGTGTCGCGCCCGTCGGTGAGCGCGGCAAGGGCCGCGGGCGCCGCGGAATACGCGCAGCAGAACCGGCAGGACGGCGGCGCCGCGGAGCTGCCAACGTCGTCGTCGGCGTCGGGTTCGCCGGCCGGGTGGTGGAACAAGCCCGTGGCGGCCGAAATGGGCGCCGATCCTTACTACGCGACTAATCGCCAGTGGTCCCGGCAGGTCTCGCAGGCCTCGGAGCTGGAGTCGGCTGTCCTGGCCGAGCTGCCCGCCGACTACACGGGTTCCGAGCTGCCCGCCACCAACACCGCCACCCTCGGTTCCGAGGCCCCCGCACCAATGGAAGTCTCGCCTTTGTCGGAATCCGCAGCGGACCAGTTACCAGCTGCTGCTGTTTCGCCCCTCGTTGGTAGCGGCGGTGGTGGGAAGGGTGTTGGTGAAAACTATGATAACGGTGCAAGCCGTGTTCATGACGCAAGTGGTGCTAATGACGGCGGGGATAGCGAAGATGGTGAGGATAATGGGGCAAGGTACGGCAATGATGCTATCAGGAGCCAAGCGGTCGCGACAAATTCCCTTATGAGTAGCAGTATTGCCCGAGGAAGGGAGGACTACTCGATCACGTCGAGCTCGGACACCTGGTCAGCTTGGCCATCGCACGACGACAGCACTACCGTCAACACGGCGTTAGGCCCGGCGCCGGCAGGCCCCATGAGTCCCGCGTACCCTCTGTCCGGGTCGAGGCCCGGGTCCTCTATTCATACTCAACAGGCGCCTCGTTCGAGAGGCTCGCAGCTGTCGAGTTGATGAGTGAACGTGTATGTGTAATGGAAACGAACAAAGAAAATATATGGGGAATACCATCTACTGGATGAAGGAAGAATAGACGAGAGAATCTCCAGAACCAACCGTGCTCTTGGGAGATTGAATGCAGGCATTTGGGGGTCTCGGAGTACTCGGTTGATCGGGAAACAAGATATACCAAGGGATGTGGGAAGGATTTATTTGATAAAAAGGCAGTAATAACTTAATTTAGGATATAGCTATGGTCGATGTCTCCTTTAGAATCAACTTCAGGGGGTCGAGCAGCGACCGACGTCCTTTCCTTTCTTTTCCACAACCCCTCAACACCACACTATCGTCTGTAAGTGTCTGTAAGTGTCCTTTGATAGCCATGTTGATCAATGTAATGCCCCCTTGATCAATTGAATAAAATACCTCGGTTGTTTGACTGCACGAGGTTTTGTGACATACATAACAGTGTCTGTCCCCTTAGCCACAATGGATCTGATATGACTAATAACGAAGCCCTAGGTAGCATAGAGTGACAGTATAAGTGACCTATACATAACCATAATGAACGCTGGACACAAGCTATCTAGCCAATGATGCAAAACACGGTAATCAAAAACAATGAATCCCGAACTAAACATAACATGAATATGAACATGATCAATAAACAGAACATGAACATAAAAAAACGCTGTTGCCAGTCAGTTAGGCCAAGGACTGCTTGTTTTATTGGCCAATAGCTGCATGGTTAATCTTCGGGCTAAATTCGCATTCACTTAACCCCTCAGCCCCTCAGCCTTACATTTACACTGGCGCGCTTTGGAATATAGTGACAAATAAAAACTTTTTTTCTAATCAGAAACAGCTACAGCCCGTATAACTCAGTGGTAGAGTGCTACACTTGTATATGTAAACTCGCACCGACGAGAATTTACTGCAGTCGATGTAGTGGCCAGTCGTTCGAATCGGCTTATGGGCATTCTATATGCTGGTATTAATGCAATCTTTTTTTGTACTTTTTTGAATATATAAAAAAAATTCGAATTTTATATTCTAGAAAAATTGGTTTTATGAAATGATTAGCTTATATAATATATTTCTGAGCGCACCGGTCGAGCAGCGGGAGAACATATATACCTAGGGGCAGGCGTGCTCCAAGACGGAGCAGTCCTAGCAGTTGCCAACGCTGCCAGCAGGATGGCAGCAGCGGTAGGCGTGATCCCGGACGAGCCGGGCGACACAACTACGGCAGCACTACGCGCGCGCTGCACTCTTTGGAAAAAGGGGCTTCTTTGTCTTCCGGGCTGAGGTCGTCGCGCCCTTGCGGCCGCACAAAGGGCCACCGCCGCGCTATAACAGCTATTAGATCACGCCATATAGCGAACACTACAAAACATACCTTGCCGCTACCGCCACCATTACGGCCATTACTGGAAGCGCCAGCACGGGCGGCAGCAGCGGGGCCGCTGCTTTTATCCTTAAGAGAAAAGGAAAGAAAGAAAATTGCAATTAATAAATAAAAATATATATAACTATTATAATTTATTTATTTATTTCGTATTAAAGCATAAGGCTTCCATTATTGCAAAATTTCTTAAGAAACTAAAAGATGATTCGACGGCGTTATAAAACAGATGCACAAGCCCATCGTACGGCATTTCTCCTTCTTCAACTTCAGAATATCCCAAAGCTTGATGACTCGATTTAGCTGTGTTAACGGCTTAGAGTATTTTAAGGTTCGAAATCGAGACATGGCTTGCGCGTTGACATCATGGACTCGGCAACCCCTGGTCTCACTTCGACAGGTTAGAGCCAAGGAGTTCGGCAAAACATAACCTAAGCTACGACAGAATCCTCCCACTAGATTATATCAGCTCTATCTGTAGTAGGTGCCTGACAATGGGTCAGCCTCGAGTAATATACTGGTTTCGAACGGACCTTCGTCTTCACGACTCTCCAGCTTTAAAGGCAGCCCTTGACCTAAACCCAGCTGTTCTGTGGCCGATTTTCACGTGGGATCCGCACTATGTCCATAGGGTGAAGGCAAGCCCGAATCGATGGAAATACATGTACGCGTCTACAAAGCAGCTCTGGAACTCAGTAGGCTAACAGTCTCACCAGGTTGGACTGCCAAAATGACCTGTCTGATTCTATCCAAAAACTCAACCCAAAGTCAAAGCTCTTCGTGCTTCGCGAGGCGCCACAGACGCTCTTCCCCAAGCTCTTCAAGGCCTGGAACGTGACCCATCTGGTCTTCGAAAGAGACACGGACGCGTATGCCCGGGGGCGGGACCTGGTCGTCACCGAACTCGCTAAGAAGGCGGGTGTAGAAGTCATCACCCGGTATGGCCGAACGCTGTGGGACAGTGACGAAGTCGTCGCGAAGCACGGCGGCAAGCCCACCATGTCTATCACGCAGCTTCAGGCCGCCGGGAACGCAGTCGGGGATATCCCGAAACCCATACCAGCGCCGGCGCACCTGCCAGATCCAGGGGATATGCCTCTCGATTTCGAGCAGGACAAGCCAACGACGGCAGGCTTCGACGATCTCAACGCTCCGCATCGCAGCGGCGGCGACAACGGGGATAATACCTATCGCGCCGGGATCGCGGGGATGAGCGGCGACTTCGCCGTCGAGACCCTCGAGGAGCTCGGGTTCCCGGCGGCCGCCGCGACGACGCCGCACCGGGGCGGCGAGACCATCGCCCTCGGCAAGCTCGACGCGATCATGGCCGACGCAGAGTACACGGCGACCTTCCGGAAGCCGCAGACGAGCCCGGCGGCGTTCGAGCCGCAGTCGACCACCCTCCTGTCGCCGGCGCTGCACTTCGGCGCGCTCTCGCCCCGGCTCTTCTACTGGCGCGCCCGGACGGTCGTCGACGCGTATAGGGGGAAAGGCGGCCCGTCGAAGCCCCCCGAGAGCCTGACAGGCCAGCTGCTGTTCCGCGACATGTACTTCGCGGCGCAGGCGGCGGTCGGGGCTCCCTTCACGCAGACGCTCGGGAACGCCCACTGCCGCTTCATCCCCTGGCACCTCCCGTCCAAGATCACCGCGACGGCGACGACGGCAGACGAGGAGGCCGGGGCTGTCGACGCGGCGGCGAGCAACACGTCGCCCTACGACGTCGACTCGGCGCAGGCGGAGCGCTGGTTCCGGCGCTGGGCGGGCGGGACGACGGGGTTCCCGTTCGTGGACGCGCTGATGCGGCAGCTGCGGCGCGAGGGGTGGATCCACCACCTGGGGCGGCACCTGGTGGCGTGCTTCCTGACGCGGGGCGGCTGCTACGTGCACTGGGAGCGGGGCGCCGACGTGTTCGCCGAGCTGCTGCTCGACCACGAGCCCGCTTGCAACGCCGGGAACTGGCAGTGGCTGAGCTGCGCCGCCTTCTACTCCCAGTACTACCGCGTGTACAGCCCCGTCGCCTTCGGCAAGAAGTGGGACCCGCGCGGCGACCTGATCCGCCGCTACGTGCCCGAGCTCGCGGCGCTCGACGCCAGGTACATATACGAGCCGTGGAAGGCGCCTGGGAAGGCGCTCGAGGAGGCGGGCGTCAGGGTTGTGGGCGATGGCCTTGGGGAGGGGGAGGAGAAGGGGGAAGGGGGCACTTATCCAGAGCCGATGTTCGATTTCGCAGAGAGGCGCGGCGCGTGCCTGGCTGCTATGAAGGCGGCGTATAGCGTCGGTTTACATGGTGATGATGAGAGGGCGAGGGACGGCACTTGGAGGGAGCTGTTCGAGCAGGCGGGCCAGACGGAGATGCAGGGGAATTTTGATGACGCGGGCGATGATGATGGCGAGCACGCTGATGATGCTGAACATGAGGTGCGTCGGGGGAAACATGGTAGGGGCATGAGCGATACGATCAGGGAGGGCCCTATGGACAGACATGTTAAAAGACTCAAGATATGATGTTAGACAGGGGTCATCGGTATATTCGCAAAACTTTCTGACTAGAAGACCCTCCAAATGACTGGATGATATAGGCATCCATGGTGACCTCTTGATTCCGCCACACGCTGAAATATCAATCAAGCTTTCTAACACTTCTGATAAGGAGTATTAAAACAAGCGAGATTGGAGAATATCGCGTTGGACAAAAGTTTCGCATACCTGATAATCGGTGCTTTGGTTTTGAGATTGCGTTTACGTCGTAGGACATAGTGACTGCCAACAGTCACAAACAATCATGAGAGCTACTTACCAGTATGCCATATTCATAAGGGCTCTCCGGCGAGCCCACCCACGCCTTTCCCCTAAGCCCTAAAAAAGTGTATAGCGTTGCTCCAGATCCCCCGTACATAGTCTTACACGACGCACCCATGGCATTCCGCGAACGCCGCATGCGGCACAGGCGTCACGAGGGTTCGGATTTTGAAGACGAGGTGAACCAGCAGCAGCAGCAGCAGTACGACATCGTCGCCGCGGAGAAAGAGAAGTCGGCTGTGAACGAGATGGTGGTGGCAGCGTTCCTGCACAGTGACGCCGTTCCCGCTCCCGTTCCCGCTCCCGTCCCCACAACGCGCATCTCCCTTCCGGAGCGCAAGCACACCACGGCCGCGATGCGGGAGAGGAGTGGCGGTGGCAGTAGCAGCGGCGTTAACCTCTGCGCCCTAGCAGCAGCTGGGAGTTGCCTCGTATTCGCGCTGATGGTGCTGGTGGCGCGGTTGGTCCTGTGGATGGCGGCTTGGGACGGTGTTCGAGACGAGGACGCAAGGCGGCGCGAAGTCGATGTTGAGGAGGGCGGTGGTCATACTACCGCGATTACGGGGTTGTGGGACGAGGACGCCGCTGGACGGGGGAATGTCCTTCTGCGGCGGTTCGTGGATGATGATCATGTCTGTTAAAATGGAATATTGAGACGCCCCAGACGCAGCTTTTGGAACCAAACTTCTTCTATTGCAACATAACCGCCCCTAGGTGCTGTCTGTCTATGGAATGCTGTTTCTGTCGTGTGTTATACAGGTATCGCTTGCTCGGCAACACTATCGGTGCATGCGTTCTTCCCTCTTCCCTCTTCCCTCTCCCCTGTTTTCCATCCTTCCCCCTTTTTCCACTGCCGCGGGCTTGGCATGGTGATCGGTGCCAGATCAGTCAGTTTGCACCCAACAAGCTATCCGTTTACCCGCCTTTCCGCTCGTCGCCGGTCGGGCTCCGTCACGAGCTCTGCTTCAGCTCCTTCGAGGCCTGCTTCAGACTCCAGTTGCACTCCTCGTACGCCCTGCCGGCGCCGAAGCCGGCGCCCAGGAAGGTCGGCCATGCCCTCCGCTTGAAGAGGAGGACGGAGAAGACGACGCCGAAGCCGAGGCCGAGGGTGGATTTTATGATCAGGTTGGAGAGGCAGCGATCCCACTGTCGTCGGACCACGCAGAATACAAATCGTCAGTCAGCAAGCCATTTTCCCGAACTTCCTATGGGGGGTGCATCGTGCGTATCGTGCGTATCGATCGAGTGTGCATGGGGTATGTGTGTGCGTGCGTGCGTGTGTGTGCTTATGTGCTTGTTATACCTTCTCGTTCAAAAGTGCCTCGCTCACGGGTCTGGAAACCGCGCTGGTGGGCGGGGGCACTGCGGTGGATTGGGCCATGGTTCTCCGTATATGAGGGGATAAACGACTTCTGTAGATGTAGATCGTGTTAGCATCCGTTGCTCGAGCGGCCGTTTCGGACAGGACATACCTCGCGGGAGGGGCGTGGTCACGAGGCGCAATGAGTGGAAGATTGGCTGGTGTATGGAGGGTGTCGTCGCCTTGATTTTATGAGCTACGAGCTTAGGCTTAGGCACAGGCACATTCAAACCAACCCTTGATGGCAAATGAACGATTTCCAGATTTCCAGATTTCCAGGCTTCCCGGTCCGGCACGAAATGCTGCAGCTGAGGTCCCGAGCTAACTGGCTAACTAAAGAGTACAAAGTACTTGCATCATTACACTATCACTTACACTAGAAACCCGGCAGGTCCCCCCAAAGAAGTCCCCACTT